AGTCCAAGTCGGCCTTCTCCTTCGCCAACCCCGTAAGTGANCCATGCAGAAGCTGACTCTGTTTTTCTCATCTGTAATGGACAGATTTTTTGTTTCGAGAAGGCGGTTCATGTTACTCAAATATTCTTGAGCGGCCCGGTCTTGTTCTGCGTCGCTGAAGTACATTGTCGGGTTGAAGGTCAAGGTCGACGTGTCTTTATTTGTCTCTGCGCTCATTGTAGTTTCTCCCATGGTCGTAACTAAGCGGCGCTACCAACTATTATGAAACAGCCTGGAGCTGTCTCTTAAACTACGAGTAGATCGGTTTATAGATAGTTCAGCCTTAGTGGATAGGCCTAGTCTATCTGTCGTATTCTCGATGTCTAAAAAGTGTTATCCTTCTTCAGGGATGTCTCAGCCTCACGCTCATTTATAGTTCGGAACCCTTCTAAACATTCCTGATCGGGGTTACCCCTCACCTACTGTATAGAAGGGTTCCGAACTATAAAGGAGCGTGAGGCTGAGACATCCCTGAAGAAGGATAACACTTTTTAGACATCGAGAATACGACAGATAGACTAGGCCTATTCACTAAGGCTGAACTATCTATAAACCGATCTACTCGTAGTTTAAGAGACAGCTCCAGGCTGTTTCATAATAAAGCTTTAATGCTACAAACATTAAACAGATGTCAGTGTTTGGCAAAAGGGTTGCGAGGATTGTACAAGTGAATTTGAAAAAGGAGCCGAGAAAAAAATTCCAACAGCCAAGTGAATCATAGTTTTGTTCAATGGCTTATATAGTCTTGCTCTTTTAATCAGAAGAATCTACCAAAAAGTTGAGGTATACACTCGAAGACATTTACTTGTTCGAAAAGTTCAAGACTATCTACGGTAAGATTCTCAAGGAAGGACATTAAATGGTTATGGGCCTTTTGGGAAATTTTGTGAATTGGTGCCCGCGCCTTCCCACCTGAGCCATTGTTGTAACTTATTATTTTTCTTTATATTTCTTTGCTAGTGGTGGAACTTGACATCATTCTAGCGGCACCCTGTAAGATCATAGTTCTTTAGAAAAGTGGATCATTGCATGTAGCTGACTAGTGTATGGTGCAAAATAGCAGCCACTGAAGTACAGCCATCTATCGAATCTCGCTGCTTTCAGAATGTATAAATGAGCTTTTTGCTCTGAAAAACAGGCCCGCTTAATATGTGCTTTTATGACAAGCCTTTCACGTCGTTGTCCAGAGCGTGGGCTTAGCCATAAAGATGGTGTGTATTATCAGCACTGGCCAAACACCTTAGCATATAATATCACAGAAGAGCTTGGCACCGGAATCCCAAACAGCCGAGGCAAGAAGCTAAAACGTTATGTAACATCGAGATCGAGCAATCCAAAAAAGTACCAGACGCAGCGCACCTTCTTCATGCGATGTAAATGGACATGTAATGATGGTTATATAATACTCGATATTTATATAGCACGCGATGGTCATATAATACACGATGGTCATATAATACACGATAGTCTTATAATACACGATGGTCTTATAATACACGATGGTCTTATAATACACGATGGTCTTCTAATACACGATGGTCTTATAATACACGATGGTCTTATAATACACGATGGTCATATAATACACGATGGTCTTATAATACACGATGGTCTTATAATACACGATGGTCTTATAATACATCATGGACATAGAATGATGGAGATATGGTCATACAATACATGGTGTATATAGACCCTAGCAAAGACCCTACAGATGGACATACAACAACAATTGACACACCATACAGGTGGACCAATCAAAATACACACCAATTGACAAAATAGATGGACATACCATACCAATTGGCAAAAGTACCTGGTCAACAGGATGCTATCTATTCCAGCATCAGCCATCGCGAATTCCAAACCCACAGAAAGAAAATGTATTGATTGTCAGTAGAAGCAGTAAAAGTGGCAATTGTTATCTTGTGTTTTTTGGATCTCTTACATTCCCTTTAATCATCATTGTGCAATTCTACCACTCTGGTCCCAAACTCGTCCATGTCTGTTAACGCGCACGCAGCCTTCCGATTGTCTAATGTCGTCTCAGAGTTTTCGCAGCCATCAGCCCGACTAAGCCAGGACGCCATGGACAAATCATCAGATTGAAGATTCGAGGAAATTGCCGTGCAAGGTCGGGGCACTTTTCTCGTACCTTTCCCTAAATCGTGCTAAACTAGGCGGCCGTGGTTTTCATTGGGTCTTGAATAATTTGAATTTGATGTCGAATGTGCGGATATGTTGGAACATTCTATACACTGCTTTACTTTCACAGGATATGAGCGTAGTGCGGACCTTTCTTATCGTGTTTATTAGTGCCACTAAAATCTGGAGGCACACCATTTGTCGGTTTACGGGGAAGCACTTAAGCCGGCCCATCTTATATTTATAGGGTGAGCCCATAATGCGGAATTCGGCAAGTGTACAAACCAATGGAAATACAGTGCCAGTTGACCACCCATTTGCGTACACTAAAATGGACATACACCAATTGACATTCACTATAGATGGACATACAATATCAATTGGCATATACCAATTGACAAACACCAATTGACAAGTACCAATTGACATACTCTAGAAGGACATACTCTAGATGGACATCCACCAATTGACACACACCAATTGTCATACTTTAAATGGACATACACCAATTGACATACACCAATGACATATACCAATTGACATCCACCAATTGACAAATACCACTTGAAATTTACCAATTGACATACTCTAAATGGACATACACCAATTGACATCCACCAATTGAAATACCAATTGAAATACCAATTGACACACACCAATTGACTTACACCAATGACATATAC